CATGGCAGAATGTCACAAGTAAGCGGGGGGGCGCATGCACATGGCCCTGGGGTCCTGCTTTCATCAGGGTTCAGGGCGGGGGCATAGGTTTCCACAGGTTCACTTTTTAGTGGTGAATTCAAACATAAGACTTTAGCTCAGTGGGAAGCCAGAGAAAAGGGGGCCTTGGGGACAGGTTCAGGGGGGGATCCCAGGGCGAGCTGCAGTGCCCATCTCCCCTGATTGCAAGTCTCATCGGGTGCCTCAGAGGTTGGGGGTTACATACCTGTGGGGGACGGGAAGGGGAAGGCTAGGCGATGCTCCCTGAAGCACAGGCAAGAGAGCATGGCCCCCAGCTTCTGGGTTTAAAAGAGGGATTTTCTGGGTGGAACCTTTCATTTGCATCAGGGATGATTGACAGAAACTACCTTTCTTCTGGGCAGGCCCTTACCCATAATGTATACGAGAAAACCCACAGGGGGCGGGGTCACAACCAAGATGCAAATTTTATTATAATTAGCCCAGTGCCCTAGGAAGGTCGCATGGGCCTTGAGGCCACGTTTTCCTCTGAGCTGGTGCCGAGAGCCGGCTGGCTCCCACCTGCCTGCTGGCTGCTGCTGGGCCGCCCATGGAGAGGCGGTCTGAGCGCCACGCTGGTCCCACCCCTGCCAGGACCCGGGGCAGGCCCGCCCCAGCCGCTCAGGTCTGACTTCCTACCTAACAAATACAGTTATTTATGAGTTTGGCTGGTTTCCTGGTGCTGCTACTATGGTTATCCTCAGTGTAGCTCAGGCTTCACATTTCTGTACAAATACTGATAGTGGGGAAGGGCAGCTAATAAGAATAGAGCCACAGTTGTTTAGTGGTTATTCACTTACTAACTATAGATAAGAGTTTTCTTACAGACCCTGGGGAACTGGAGGATGTGCTGCAAGAAGAAAACCAGCTGTAAAACAATAAGAGACACGTTGGGGCCCATTGCTCAGAAAAGAGTTCTTTCTGAGAACAAAGGCCAGGACTCACTTTGATTTGATTGCTGTGCCAGGACCCCCTCTCCGGAAGTTTTCCTCAGGAATGCTGACCATTCTGGGTCCCAGGAACTGGTTGGAGTTGTTTTTAACACGATTGAAAATTAACTACTTTGTTATCGGACTTCAAGATTGAAAAATCAGACAGAGGGCGAAAACCAGGACTACAGGCTTTATTAGAGGAGAAGGACCTGCCGGGCTGTCTCACAGGGGAGAACAGCAGCACGTGCAGGGGTGGGCACGCCTTTTGAGGGACGGAATGGGAAGGGGTGGGGGGCTTAGTGTACTCGGCGCACACTGATTGGTGGCTTACTGCACTGTCCATATAGGACAAGGGCTTAGGGTATTTGGCAGGTGTGGATTGGTGGTCCAATGTATAGTCCATATAAGGTACCTGGTTAGTCACTCAGGTATTTCTGGGCTGCAGGTTACGTCAAACTCCGCCCACCAGTTGGGAGAAGGGAGGATCTATCAAAGATCCTGGAAGGAGACAGTCGGACCACAGACCCGGCAGCCACCTCTCCCTCCTTCCCCCTCCCACGCAGCCTCTCTTCCTTATTCCTATACACTTAGCCGACTAGTGGGAGGTGGGAGAGCAGGTTTTCGTGGATGGCCTGCTGCTCTCCCATATGCAGGCATTATTGGAATAAACGCTCATATATGATTCAACCCCGACTCTGCTTAATTGGCTCAAGTAGTGACAGGCAGCCCTGACCCATTAGCTGTCCGTTTTCAATACTTTATACTTAGAGTGGGGTTGGTTTTCTAGGGCAAAGTCTCTCCAGTGCTGAGTTCTAGGTCTTCCCCGAGTGGTACAGCTGTCTCTGCATGCTTTTTTTCTTCTCGTCTTCTTCTCCCAACAGTATTCTGCAGTTACTGATTTGAAGCTACTTCACTTAATGGTGAAGTGGTCTTTTGGTCCATTCTTTTTTTTTTTT